ATTTATTTATATAAAGAACAAAGATCAGGGCCTGCCGAGTGGCTCAGCTGGTTAAGAGCTCTCTTGGGACGCCAGCTCTGAGCAGCAGGGCTGCAGTTCGGATCCCACATTGAGGGCCAGTGACGCTGGCCCTCTACGGCTAAGATGGTGAACAACAGCTAGACCTGGAGCTGTGCTGCCGGGAGTTGCCAGCGACAGCATAGGCTGCAGTGGGGCTGCAGTGGGCTGCCGTGAGCTACGTGAGTGGCTGGCAGCCAGCGTGAGCGGCCAGCAGCCGGTGTGCCTGCTGGGAGCCACTGGGAGCGGCCGACCAATGACTGGCAATGATTGTCTTACCCGGGAAGAGTGCAATGATTAATACCAACATGGGCCAGTGAAGCAACATTCTCCACAACTAGACTGAAGAACAAAACAGCAATTTATCTACCTGTCTGCTCCCTTTCCCCAATTCCCAAACGCTGTTCCCCTCCCCCCAATTTCCCAATAAAATCTTTAAAAAAACAAAGATCAATCAATGATATGTTGCCCGTTTTGTTCGATAACCTTTTGTCATCTTTCAGTGAGCTTCATAATTCCTCGTTCATAGAAGAACCTGTCTTTATTTGCGAAAAACTGGACAAGGTGCTGATTTACAGCCTCATCTGAATTAAACATTATACCATGCAAGGAGTTTTGAAGAGAGCGAAACAAGTAGAAGTCTGACAGTGCAAGGTCCGGCGAGTATGGTGTGTGTGGCAACACATCCCATCCAAGCTCCAATCATTTTTGACGGGTGATCAAACTTGTGTGTGGTCTTGCGTTTTGGTGATGGAACACAACTCCTTTACAATTAACAAGCTCTGGACGTTTCTGGATGATGGATTCATTCAAACTGTCCAATTGCCGACAGTCTACATTCGAATTGATTGTTTGGTTACTTGGTAGGAGCTCAAAAAACACGACACCTTTAAAATCCCACCACACTGAGAGCATAATCTTCCTCTGATGAGTGTCTGTTTTTGATGTCGTTTGAGGTAAATCATCATGTTGGGACCAAGACCATTTGCACACCACATTGTTGTAAACAATCCACTGCTCATCACCAGTTATCAGCCACTTAAAAAAAATGATCATTTTCCTCACGTTTAATGAACATATTGCAGATGTTTATACACACCGCCAAATGAACTTCTTTGAGTTTATGCGGAACTCAAATATCGAGCTTGCTTACGTATCCCAGCTTCTTCAGGGGGTTGTGAATGCTTGAATGATGGATGTCAATTTTTCTGCAATCTCTCATATCATATAACATGGGTTTGACTCGATCAATGACTTTATTTTGTCGTCATCAACCTCGGTGGGCCTCCCTGACCAAGGAGCGTCATTGAGATTAAAATCACCAGCACGGAATTTTGTGAACCATCGTTGGCACTGACTTTCTTGTAGAGCATTGTCACTGTAAACTTTATGCAACTTTTCACAAGCTTGACACGCGTTCTCCCCTTTATGGAAGTAAAACAGTAAAATATGACAAAAATGCACAGTTTGGTCTTCCATCTTCAACTTGTTGTAAAATCTCCAAAACCCAACCAAATTGCTCAATTTTTTTTTCGGAATGAAGCTAGAACTGTCAGCTTTCAAATGACATAGCAATAACATAGATGTGAATGACTCAAGTACTTCCAAAAATGAACTAGCGCTATCTGTTGCAAAAGTGCATCATGACTTCTCCTACAACCCAATATTATGCTGCATTTTAATTCAGTGCTGAATATTGACATGATCCTTGATTAATTTAAGAGTATTTTAGATTAATATTCCAGTTATTTAGCCACTAATGTGGTAAAAGAACAAAGCTCAAGCTACCTTTAAGTGTTTATTAATCATGTTATTCTCTAAATGCTTACTGAGTGCCTACCATGTTTCAGGCACTATTTTAGGCACTTGGGATACAAATATCCAACTTTGTGGAACCTCCATTCCATAAAGTAATGGACTACAAAAATAATAAATACATAAATAAAAGTAAAGATTACTCATAAATATTAACCTAGGAAATATTCTAGATGGTACTGACAGAAAAATTCCAGTGGATGACTGTAACCCAACCAGAAACATTTTTGTGACTGTGTTCATTGATTGCCATTTGGTTGCTCATTTATGATTTAATTTTACTGAACTCTGACTTTCTCTTCTGATCTGAATTACAATGAGGATATTAAATCAAATTTGTAGTTACCTTTGCATATTTTGTGACTTCAAACATTTATATTATGATTCACTGTGTACATAATTTTTTAAGTTGTCTCAAACCACCAGTGTTCCTTTTACATTTTCTAGGTTTTCTCTAATAAACTAACTTCATAGAATACTTTTTGTACTGTCATATCACATATCTATAGCTGATTTTTTACACTAATATTATATAATATAGATGCTTTTGTCCCTCACCTTTTTCACCTGTAAAATGGGGTCTGTAGAATACTTAACGAGTGTGGTTTTTGTAGAATTAAGTAACATAATGTTTGTAAAGCACTTAAAACTAAAGAAAATGCAGACATATAGTAAGTTTTAAGTGCTGTGTTTTCTGCACCCCTACTAATCATTTACTGATTTCTAGTATTTCTAATATCTTAACATAGTAAATGGGGTATTGTACATTTTTCTTTCCTTCGTACAATTAGGAGGAAGCAGGATTACAATGAAAAATGAAAGCAAATATATATCCTACAGGGCCATATAAGGAATATCTCTTTGTCTGTAAACCACTTGTCTCAGGAGTAAAACCCTCCAAATGATGAAAACCAAGAGAGGATTTGGTTTTCAAAAAAGTTTTTTTTGTTGTTTTTTTTAAAGATTTTTATTGGGTAATTGGGGGGATGGGAACAGTGATGGGGAATTGGGGGAAGGGGAACAGACAAGTTGCTGTCGTTTTGTTCTTCAATCTAGTTGTGGAGGACGCTGCTTCACTGGCCCAAGTTGGCACCATCATTGCGCTCTTCCCTGGCGAGGCAGATCAGTCGCCGCCTTCTGGACGGCCGCTCACTGCGGCTGCTGGCCGCTCACGCTGGCTGCTGGCTACACACAGTAGCCCATGGCAACCCACTGCCACAGGGACTGCAGCCTATGCCGTCGCCAGCGACTCACGGCAGCCCAGCTCCAGGTTGAGCTGTCATTCAGCATCTTAGCTGTAGAGGGCAGTGTCACTGGCCCTCATATGTGGGATCCGAACCGGGGCCCTCTGGCATCCCAAGCGAGTTCTTAACCATCGCGCCACTCGGCCGGCCCTCAAAAAAGTTTTGAAAAAGTTTTTGAAGTTTTTTTCCTGATTTCAAAAGATATAATCATTGTTATAAAATTCCAACACTAGAGAAAGAAATAACTTAGAAAGTGAAAAGCCTATTTATTCACATACACACCTCAACTCCCTACCCCTAGAGATAATTAATGGTAATAATCTATCTATGTTCTCATGTGTTTTTCCTATTTGTGTTATAGATATAGATATAGATATAGATATAGATATAGATAGATATAATATATATGTTATATATATTATATATATGTATGTATAAAATAAGATCACATTGTACATACTGCTTTTCAACTGGCTTTTTATACACTTGTAGAATGACTTTGTGTCTTTGATCAGACATTTAGTTTCTTCTCATTGTCAGCAGCTGCAGAGAGCAGTAACTCAAGGATGTACTTGTGGCTCTCTATGTACCCACAAAGTCACATAGCGTTCAGATCTGATTGGAAAGACCTTTCAGCTGACGTTGCACAGCCACCCACTGACCTTCTCTCTCCAAGTCCTGACCAGAAAGGGGCAGTGGGAGAGTGACTCAGAAGAGCTTTCAGTCCATACCGGGAGACAAGAGCTTTCTGAGTGCAGGGAGAAGGACTGACCTGAAAGAGGACTCCACATTCATAGAGCAGTTAATCCAAAGGATCACAGAAACATTATAAATGCAACACCCTTGAACTGAAACTCCTCTCTGGAGTGTGGATTCCCAGTCAGGCACACTCTACTTGAAGCAGGAAGGAAATTTTATTTGAGGATGTTAAGGTCAAGCTAACTCATTTTTAAATTGCCATAGGAGGCCATTCATCCCCCACTTCACATCTTCCACTTCAAAGCCTTCCTCCCATCCAGATATTTACCCTTGGAGGGATTAAATCCTCTTTTATCTTTTCTATGCTTTCATTAGCTGCATTTTTTTCTCTTTTTAGCTTACAAAAGGGCAGATTTTTTTAAGCCAAATGCCAATATGTCAAATATTAAATATTCATTTCCATGCAATGCGCAGTGTGTATAATTACATAAAATAAATATATTGTAAAAATATAATATTACTTAATTTGTGTCCCAAATTTACACATAATTGACTGACCAGGTATAAAGCGTACTCTATGCAGAGAGCTGAGAGTATACAGCTTAGCTGAGGCCTTTGTTAAACAGTATATAAAGCTGCAGACTCCACAACATAAGAGGATTTTTTTGCCTAAAGGAGCTACAAGCTTCTTTGGTATGAAAACAAGAGACATGATTATACCAAGTGGCACTTTCAGGGCTGGAAGGCAGTGAGGCCTCTGTGGCATCATTCAGGAAGCAGGGGTGTTAGGGCAGAGGCAGAAGCTACTTTCTGCCAGGCAGGAATGCCAATGAAACCAGAGATGTTGTGGAAGGCTGTCCCACAGCTTTATGGCCCCCTGGAACACCAAATTTTCTGAAAGCCATCGTCCAATTTGTTGAAGGTTAAATAGTAAGTGGTTCAGAAGCGCATAGGTAAAGCATAGAATGGTCATGGGGTCAGAACTAAGGTAATAGTAGGTCATGTTCTCTGCCTTCTCACTGTGCAGTCATCACACAGTCCTAGTAGCACTACACCAGGTGGGGGCTCAAGATCTGGTTATTTGTTCCTCAAATAGGTCCAAGTAAACTTTTCTGAAATAATTGTTTTGAGGAATAAAAATGCCTCGTCATGCTACTTATGACTATTTCAACCTGTTTCTTTCAGATACCATTGTTCTTATCGCTTCAATAGCAGTTGTTTCTGCAAAAACTCAGGGTAATATTTTTGCCACGTCTGCACTCAGAAGTCTCCGTTTCCTACAGATCCTCCGTATGGTGCGCATGGACCGAAGGGGAGGCACTTGGAAATTACTAGGTTCAGTGGTTTATGCTCACAGCAAGGTAAGATATGCTTTCTGAGTTACAGAATTTTTTAAACGATTTTTTAAACTTTTTCGTTGATTGCTGTAATATTTAATAAATATATCACAAGCAAATTAGTCATTTTAGAAACTGGTAAAAGCAATTTTGGGACATAATATATAATGGGTTATTTAAGTCATAAATATCCAGGAAGTAGACAAATAAATGGAATCATGAATAGATTTTTTTTTATTTTTCAAAGGTTTTTCACCTCTAAAAATCTTCTGTTCCTTTTTTATCTAGGAATTAATCACAGCTTGGTACATAGGATTTTTGGTTCTTATTTTTTCATCTTTCCTTGTCTATCTGGTGGAGAAGGACGCCAACAAAGAGTTTTCGACATATGCAGATGCTCTCTGGTGGGGCACAGTAAGTATAAAAACCTGTTTTTATTTATTAGATGTTGTGAAATGTTTTCCTTTTAATACAGTGTAATGATTCCTATGAATGGTCTCAATAAAAACATTAACTTCTAAACGGAGTTATATGAACATGTACAGCACTTATAATTGTCTAAAGAGTTTCCCCATCTCTTTGGTTCAACAAAGTTAAGTTCTATTATGTATAAATCATTAGTAGTAATACTTGAGTACTAGATTGTGGCCAAAATAAAAATATAGCATCTTTTAACTGTGATTAAAATGTTGATTGGCTTGTTTGTTTGTTTTAGCTTTGTGGAGCACAGATTTAAATTACCAACTGCTGCATTGGTTTGCCATTCATCACAAAGTTTATCTGATGTAAAAAAAAAAAAAAAGAAGTAATGGTAACTGAATTAAAGTTAGAAGATTAAATTATGGCACAAAAAGTGAAAAAGACTGGTAACCATCTGTGAGATCAGAGATTATAGACACCTCATTTCAAAACTTTCCACTCAAAGACCTGCTTTTCTTTATATTTTTATTAGATAGTTTTCCAAACAAATAAAAGTAATCATGACTCTCATATATAGGAAGAAAATAAACACATGCTAAAGATTTTATTTCACTCTTTTTGTTGTTATTTACGCAAGTATTAATAGGGAACCAGTAAGATGTTACAAGCATTCAAAGGATTATCGGAAGAGCAGAAACATAAAGATCAGGAATATTGAAATGAATGTGCAAATAGAGGCAAAACTGGCTTCTTCCACAGTGTGAGAGGAAAGTTAATTAAGCCACCACTAGACAGAATTTATTTACATGTCTATAGACAAGAATTATTTTGCATTGCTACCTGTTATCTACAATTTACAGAGTTGTAAAATAGCTCAAGGGCCATGAAAGGTGCAGAGCCCCATAAGATCAGACTTCAATAACCTGCAAGCAGGTACTCTAAACAGCATATAATCTTTCATTAAAGCAAAAATGTCCCTACATTGTAATGAATTTAAAAAACAGTTATTGAAACATGTGCCCAATAAGAATGTCACAGTATAAAGAAGTGCTTTATGTAATGTATAAACTATATTTGTTTTTATTTTGTTCCTTAAGACATTCCAAAAATGTATTATGTGAAAATATACAATGTTTGTAATTGTTTAAATAGTTTCCCCATCTCTTTGGTCCAACAAAGTTGTTTCCCATAAATCATCAGTAATATTTCTTGAATGCTAGGTTGTTACCAAAATAAACATGTATCATTTTCTTAAACTGTGATTAAAACATTGATAAGTTGTTTGTTTTAACTTTGTAGAGCATAGGTTTAAGTTACTGGTTGTTGCATTGTTCCATTACTCATCAAAACCTCATCAGCAGGAACTAGAACTCTTGTCAAGGTCAAAGGAAATTTTTCATGACCATATTGAACAGAATTTAATATGTTTTATGGTTGCATAGCAGCAATAAAATTAGTAAGAATCAGAAATGTACACCTGAAGATTAAGATTTTTTTTACTTAAATTATCAGAGTAAATGTCTATAAGAATGTGCCATGGATAACAAGGCATTCTGTTCGTTTAATAATGTGGTTTCTGACTCCTCTCCCATCCACCATGCCCACAAGCAAAGATGGGCATTTTGAAAGAAGGAAAGTGGAAAACCCAAAAGAGGGCAGCCATCTGACATTCTTAAAATACTTTTTACATGTCGAGAGTAAACAAAAATCTGTGACTCAAGGTGGGATAAACTGTGTAAACTGAGAAAACAGGAGGCTTTTCTAGCCAGTGAGAGGAAGACAATTTAATATTCCAGACTTCAAAGCAACAATTTAAATTTAAGTTTAGTTTTTGCTTCTCTTTGATTATTTCGTTTAAACTACTGAGATAGCACCTCTTCCCATGGAGATGCAGTTGTTGAGTTCAGCCAAGCAGCCCTTTATCCTTTATTCCATTCATCTTCCTTTTGTCCTTATTACTGAGAATTGCTGTTTGAGAAACTCTTAATATGCCTCTCACTTAGTCACCAGCTGGTTTCTTTTGCCAGAATAACCCAAGTAGGTTTTCAAAGGTCGTATCTGTGACTTTCAGGGGAGAAACAACATATTTTCATTGATTTCCATTTCACTAGTGCTATTTTGACTGAAGTTTAACTTGTACTTAACAGGTTCCTTGAGTGGGCTAATTGTGTCTCTACTTTTTTTTAAAAGAAAAAAAATCTAGTCTTGAATATAAGAGTAAAAATCTTCTAAGACATTAAGTTTCTAGGAATAAAAAAGGCCTTGTTGGTCCACAGTGGGTTTGTTGATGTTAACTGACTCATGAATGAAATTTTCCAAAGCCTGAAAAGGTACAAAAATCAAACAGAGGTCTTGTTATTTCTATTTATTACAAGAAGAACATATACCAAATCTCCAGTGTGAAATAAAATTAAGTTAGAATACTATACCTTTTATTATGTATTAATCAAGACCTTAAGGAATATATGGTTGGATACTTTGTAGTTAAAGTTGTCCCTGTTGCATATAACAGACACCTTGCTGACTATGGAAGTATCCAGAATAAATAGGGAGATGAAAGCATCCTGAATTGAGTATTTAATCTTAGTAGGCTTTGGTGGAAAAAAAGGAAATTTCCTTTATTAAAAAAGCCCAAAGTCAGAGGTGGTCTCGGAGGTGTGGAGGAACAGCTGAGGCTGTTGGTTTGGGGGTGGGGGTGGGGGGGTTAGACAGCGTGAATACGCACCTGCAATGTTGCCACGGGGACATGGGGGACGGTTCGAGGAATATAATTGGTAATGTTGTGAATATTTTGTGGAGTGTCAGGTGGTCGCATGTCTTGCGTCATGCGTGGGGTAGAGGCTTGATCACTGCACTGTACACCTGAAGCTGATGTTGTATAATATTGTACGTCAACTATAAGTGAATATATATATATATATATATATA